GAATTCTCTAGTAAACGATGATAAAGGAATTATCAGGTACACGTTGATAAAGGAATTATCTGGTACATGACGATAAAGGAATTATCTGGTACACGATGATAAAGGAATTCTCTGATTCACGTTGATAAAGGAATTATCTGGTACATGATGAAAAAGGAATTTTCTGGTACACGATGATAAAGGAATTCCCTGGTACACGTTGATAAAGAAATTCTCTGATACACGTTGATAAAGAAATCATCTGGTACACAAACATAAAGGAATTATCTGGTACATGACGATAAAGGAATTATCTGGTATACGATGATAAAGGAATTCTCTGGTACACGTTGATAAAGGAATTCTCTGATACACGTTGATAAAGGAATTATCTGGTAAACGATGACAAAGGAATTATCTGGTACACGTTGATAAAGGAATTCTCTGTTACACGTAGATAAAGGAGTTTTTTTTTACAATCGATATCGGCTATTTTGTTTGTCTCAATCATTGTAGTACTTCAACATAGAATACGTCTTGTTCGTTTCCAATTTGTCGTCTAGTCTTGACTATCAGATCATCCCCAATAGATGACTTCTTAGATGATTGCGCCCATTCGAATGGTAAAATAGCGGTTAAAATTGAAGTCATGATTTTCCTAAATATTTAAAGCATATTGATTAGAAAATATTTAATATTCCAATGACTTCTATCTTTGTCAAGTATAAGCATGCGAAGCCTTTTCGTGACTGCTACGTATCTCACAAGGCGCAGGAGAAGTTATTATCATACATAAATTAATGGTTTAATTTCGTTTAGTATTGTTTAACGTCCTATCAACAGCTATGGTCATTTAAGGACGGCCTCCCCTGTCTGCCAGATGTATGCGTGTAGTGTATGCGTGTGTGTTTTGGTAGGCGGCGATATGTTCGTGTTTGTCCCCTAGTAAAAGCGCGGAACTGATGCCGACTTTATAGTGCTACCTCACTAAAACATATTGCCGAAGACACCCAGCCGGACATCCCAGCCGGTCACATTATACTGACAACGGGCGAACCAGTCGTCCCACTCCTAAATTACTGAGCGTTTAACAGGAGTAAAATTATTCTTATATATTTTTTTCACGTGTTATACCCTGAGCGTGATAATAACGGAATAACATTAATTGTTTGCTATGCCAGTTTTGTCCTGTTGATAAGGAAAAGGAGCGAAAGTTAGGTGCACTGTACATTCAACATTTGTAAATCACAAAGAACACTTATTTTCTACTATATATTTGGAAACTTTCGCCCTTTATGTCGCCTTTAGCATTTCATTGATAGGTATATCATATCGTTTACCAATATTCGCTGTAATGACACATGCCAATTTACTCTCATTAAAGAGGGCGATGACGGCATAAAGTAAATTGCAGTGAACATGTCCAGGTAAACAGAATACAATGTTTATCTATGCGTATTTAAGCTTCAATATTGAGAAAGGTTTGAGATGTTCCGTCATGCAGGTTTCACCGACAAAAGAGTTCCTTGGCAAAGGCCTCTATGTTTAGTGTACACCCTGTCACCTAAAGCTTGTATTACATACCTGCGGATGGCGTTTTTCCAGTCATGGCATTCCGTTTCTAGGTTCATATAAGTACTATTATTAACTCCGCATACTCATAATGTATAGCCCGGAAGGCTGAATTATTTCTTTATTTAAGTTTGCGGTTCTGATGTATGCATTGAGATGATTATGTGACTGGTTCAATCCAAACTCCGGTACATGTATACCTGGTCCTGTGGTGTTCTATAAAGACGGGCTTTTAACTGGGGTTTGTTTGATAACACTTTGTTGGGGGGTTGGATGGCACAGTGGATAGCTAAATTACATTCACGAAGACAACTGAGAGGTTCGAATTCAATAACACGGCATTAAGACCTCTCGCGCGCTTCCATCCGGCCTAATAAGGGTAAGAGTGATTGATTTAAGTTGAAATAAATTGTTTTATGATTTGAAACATTGATGAAAACTGTTCATATATTTGCTGTCAAGTACACAAGGGTTAGATGTACAGGATACACATTAATTATATAGAATTTGATAAAAATGAGCAATGTCTTGACGAAATGATATAGCCTGTCATTACACTAAAGTGGTAAAAGTGCATTAGTTTTAATTCTCTCCCATTAATGTGTATTACTGTATATCACCTGAAGGAGGAGCGCTGGCGGCGCGAATTGCGTGGATCAGAGTAAAGCTACCGCCTACCGTGTTGGATGCTGTACTACACGGCACGTTATAAGTAGTATCGACTTCTGGGACGCTGCCTGTTCTATGGTTATTGAAAGTGTAGAACACAACTGTAGCCTTTCAGCAACAGTAGCATAACAAATATAAACAACATCGTCAAACTTTCAGCATATCGTGATAAGGTTAGGGCGAAAGTTATACTGTAAACGTCGAAATATTTGCGTTGTGAAAAACGTGGCGTGGTGTAAATGGGCTCGAAAACATCCACTCGCAAATATTTATTTATAGACTTTAAAGAGAATCATTGGTTAGGTGAAAAATCCAATGCTGCGATCAATTTGAAAAAAAATATTACAACGCGAAGATTTCCACTCGCGAATTTTATAATTCCACAATACTGTTGAGCAAAGAGGAGAGAATATTAAATATGTTTATTGAGACACTTATAGACAAGATAATTTAGTGGTACCACCCTAATAACAAAGGGTTTGGGGATGAGAGTGTCCAGGACAAACATAACATTTTCCTTCATACGACTCATGGTCAACTTTCTGACCTAGTGCTTATTGTTAAGGTTTTCTCAGTTAGCGGTCAACACACAAATATTTATAATGGCGAGGGTGTCGGCACACACCAGTTGAAGTATTTGGGACGCCAATGAAGGCTCATAAGGTTCCTTGAAAAGATTGAGCTACTATAGGGCTAATTGAAGACAAACATGGTCGCATAAAAATCTCTCGTACTATCTTGTATTTTTATACACTTTGCTGAAAACAACATTTACTTTACATCTGTTATAAATCCAGTGAAGTGCGATAAACCTTAATATTGTTGTAAACAAACTGCACGATGTACCAATAGTGCATTGAAGGCCCAGTCCGCCAACGTTCGATACGCTTGACGACAGCAAAATGCAAAAATTGAATCTAAAATACTTTCATAAAGATTTCAATTCAAAACAAACGTTTTTATATATATGAAATATAATTAATCTCTAGTAACAACAAACACAGAAATACTTGAAACGGTTTTTTTTTAAATCACATTTGAAAATTTGCATCAATAACTTATTCAGCTAACAAGTCTTTGAAAAATTTAGCCAGGGCCTGTTAGTTTCAAGCTTGACAAGCCTAACGGGTTTTAACAATAAATATTCATATGATGATTTTTTTCAGAATATTTACAATTTACATATTTATGTGTGTCAAATCATAGACGATTATTTTGAATCCTTATTTTGAAGATTTAAATTCAAATCCCTTCAATATTTTTTTTAATTTTTTCCAGATAAAATGTTTGAAATACTTATCGGTTAAGCTAACCAGTCTTTGCCAAACTGGATACGAATATAAATCACTTATGTAAAAATATCATATTTCCAATAATCAATACACAGCTCTAGAATGTACATTCTATTGTAAGGACAAGACTGATAAAACAAAGAAAAGATAAAAGCCGAAAGGTGACTTGACTTGAATCCATATTTTACTTGGTGCCGAGTGTAACAACTGTCTAATCTATAATACAAACGTTAGTTGTGATTTAAAGACCTACCAGGAATCCTTGTATACAGCAGTAAGAGGCGTCTTAAATGATATTCCAGAAATGTGATGATAGATACACTTCTGCAAGATTGTATACGTTCTGTTACTTACAATAGACAGGTTTAATGGTCGCCATCAGGATCTCACAGAGAAATACTCTTTTGTGGGATATGGAGGTCGATGATTTTATTATGCTGATCAGTGCATTGTGGTTTTATTGTCACTACCCAAGGGAGAGTTCATTGGTTCACAGTAATATTACATATGGCCTGATTTTCTTTGAATCTTATTGGATGAATCTTGACCTCATGTTCGCCAATATACATCATATAGACCCATGTTTCTCTTTTTATTTTGCACGTGACCATAACCATATCGACCCCGTGTTTCTAACATTATATACGGAATTTCGTTCCTGATTCTTACTATTTTGATATCTGGAGTAAAATCGACCTCGGACTCCGTCATCGGTCGACATTACTCTAGCAGGTCCATATAACAACGTATCAAGTTCAAACGTGATATTTCTTAGCTCCAGACTTCGTCATAATATCAGCACATATGCTCTATTTGATAGTGAATGGGCATCCTTAGGGGAAGAATATCGGCATCAATTGGTGGTTGTAACCATTTAACTTTCATGTTAAAATACTTAAAGTTGCTCTGCATCCTTCAATTGCAATGCATTGAGAAGACAACTGTTGTTATGAGACTATAACAACATTTGCTATTGTAACGTCATCAATCTCTATTGTGACGTCAATAATTTCATTGTTGTCAAAACGTGATTGCTGTTCAAAGAACTGTTGGAAATAACTAAACAACTCTATCGTAACTACTCTATCAAAATGTAAATATCAATGATGAATAGTTTAGCAAATACTGTTATGGTCCTATAACACACATTTCTATTAGTGACAAACTTACACAAATCCCTGCAGGGCTTAAGTTTGTCATCAATAGCAATGTGCGTTATAGGACCATAACAACATTTGCTAAAACATTCATTGCTTAATAATTTGTTGCTAAAATCATTCGAACAAAAAACAAAAGACTAATTTTGATAGACGCAAAGATAACGTTATAGCAGTTAATACATTATAAACATGGTGTTCACACAATGCAGCTAAACAAAATAAGGTGTTTTTTTTGTACAAAACATCTGTATTCAAAAATTCAAAATGTCCATTCAAATTGTGTTGAAATCTTTACTAACAGTATTTTCGTTTTTTTGATATTTTTCAGAAATCCAAGAGGAACATGGTTGTTGACTAGAAAGGTTATACCATCAGCAGTTATTTGGATCGAAAGTAATATGGCTTCAGCGCAAGTAAAGCCGAAATCTCCTTATGTATATACGTACTCAACAGATTCTATGAAGATAACAGATGACAGGAAGAAAAGTGGTTCTGTCAAAATCGCAGAAGGGAGTAAAAAGGAAGATGGATCTAAATCGAAGAGCGGACAAAATAAAAAAGCATGTAATGTGCCGGATACGAATCTGCTCTTGGCGTGTTTAGTGACTGTATGTTTCCATCCTTTATTTGGTGCAGTCGCCGCCTATTTATCTATCTCCGCCGCCAGTGCGTATAGAGACGGACGCCGGAAGGAAGGCGAGATGCGCGCGTTTATCTCCGTCATTGTAAGTCTTGTTGGAATTGTCTTCACAGTCGTTCTGGTGATGACACTGGTCCTATGGCTGACCATAGGCGATTATAAACTACCTGTGGAAAGCTGATGGCACGAACTCCGGTTTACGGCTACCCAAGGTCGATATTTGAAACAAACTATCAAAGATGGATTTTGATACTGTTCCGAGTTAACGCGGAGGGAGTGTGCGTCGGTCGGACTCGCAATGGAGCCCAAACACTCTATTTCGCGTCCAAGCTTTCACACGAATGAATGGACCATGTGCAAACGTTTCGTAGAAGCATATCTGTATGCATGTTTGAACGGCACGTTACTGTCAATTATCATCCGTCTCCATAAGGCAGGGTCAACACAGTTGTGGAGACGTCATCGATTACATTTTGCACAAGGACATCGAACTGAAAGAAGATCACTTTATGATGTTATATAGCATTCTCCGTGAATGTGTTATAGCATGCCAAAACAACGAATGTGAACCAATGGAAACAACTGATAGTAAAATCTCACCCACTCAAGGAGTTAAGTCGTTTATTATATACTATGTATGTATTGATTTAACTCCAACTAATTTATCATAATACATAAATAACTAATTATCTAAAGGATGATAAATATGATATAACTAAGGAACGCACATCCACTTGTTTCAAACTTAAATTAAGAAACAGTAAAATCATTGTAAATATTTCATCAGTATGAAAGACGTGTAACCATTATTCGTACCATGTGGCGACTAAAGAACAACGCTTTACATATGTATTGAGCAACTGCTCAAGCACACTCTTAGATACGTTGATGAAGAATTTGGGCATTAAAGGGACATTGTTATCATGTAAGTTTGCAAACATCGCACGCTATCGTTCCTTTCATCAAGTGGAATAATGTTAGATGTCTAGAGTGTGGCATCATGGTGTCTTAAGGTGCAGGCAGACCCAAATCTGAAGTAGGAGTTTAAAGATCCCTGTTCCACTGCTGGTAATTCAATAGATAATTAAACTGCGGTTTTGTTCATATATTCAGTAGCCTCCTCTTAATTTCGTTTTGATATAACTGTAGCGGTTTTGAACAAATGCATTGCCGTTGACTAGGTAGCTCACTTGATTAGAGCGATAGTAACAAGCAACAATTTGAGGTCCAGAGTTCGAATCCTGGTATAGCCCCACAGACGTTTTGCTCTCAAAATAACATTGCTATGTATTGATGATTTCATCTTTATGATGTTTTCCAAAAAGTTCCTCAGGGTGTTTTATTTTCATAAATGTTTTATCAAACTACAGTTATGCCGCAAAAAAAAAATCAAAAATCAGATCCATTTTGGATAGTTTTTTTGCAGTGGTACAAGGATTCTTAATAGTGATATAAATCTCTGTCATACGTGGCAGTTTACTCCCAGAACGTGGTTAATATGAGAATTCTGAGACTACACTTTATGTGATAAAATTATAAACTGTTTTACAAACTACTGTATTATTTAAGTGTCCTGTGTATGTCCATGTGTCTATGTCCTCAACTTGTGGTTGACATCATACAATGGCGTGCTGCCATCTCATCATAGGAGTAAGTATCAAGTGTTTATTAATTCAAAACTAGATTAAAAAGCTTACTTGGTTTTGTGAAACGAGATTATTTGCACTCATATACAGTTCAAATGTTACAGTTTCTAATCAGCCCACATGCACTTGGATAATCTGATTTTAATAACGGTTCAGTATATATACGTTAGGGCTATGTACATACTAATAGAAGTGAAAAGAAATAGTTCATACGACTAGGAATCAACGTCTGAAACGCGAACAAATACAATGACATATGCTGAGCTATGTAAGAAGCTAATATAAGATATGTGAAACCGGTTTTTAGAATTCTTATTCATATTACTGGTGTAATCACATCGAATTTGTGTTTATTACCTTTTTTTTTTTTTTTTTAAATATTGCCTTTTAATGGTTTCTTTTATAGTCATCAAACAAATCCGGGGCTTTTGACAGTTTTAGCAACATGAGTAATTTGATATTTCTCGAACATATATGTAGTGGTATTCTCAAAATTCCCAGCTGTCGATCAGTTTCATTTTATTTTAATTTGAGATGTTTGTGAAATTTAGGTATAGATATTTACCTAAATCAAAATGTTTATCATGTTTTATTCCTTTAAGTGAAAATCAAGTTAGCAGACAGTTGGAATATGTCCTTTTACATAAAAGAAGTAACACTGAGAACATATCCCTTTAAATATCTAAGAGATGGTAAAAAAAGAGGAATCTACAAATACATAAAAGTATAACATAGACGAGACAGAGATGTGTGTATGATGTAGACGACCTATTGAAAGCCAGCCATCTATAAAAAGAAAACCTCATGAAGTGGGTTTTTGGATGTAAAACGGATTACGCATCTTAAGTTGCATGTGTTCGTGAAAGATTGGCGACTGAGGGACGACATGCAAGGATGATGGAAGCTTTTGCAGTCTTTTCCAGATACCATTTGCTGGAAAAAAATATCGATCCTCGATTTTCTGTAATAACAGTTGTCCTAGCAAACGGCTAGTTTTCTTTTAAAGCCCCGTAGTTTCTATCATCGTCACGAATACAAACGGTCATATAACAGGAGTTATTACGGTGATGTATCATGAGCCAAACTAAAATAATCATACCACTTTCGATAATTCTCGTTTCCGAATACGTCAACGCTGGCAATGAATATTCGTTTACAATCGTAAAATTCGGATGTGTTTGCTGATAAAAGAACCGGAGTTGAAAATAAACATCAAATAACGTAGTTTGTTGGGAATAATTAAAATCGATATTGCTGCAGGCTAAGGTCATACACAAGAGGTAATGTAGCACGGTATATTTGAAGGACTTTTAAGAACTTGCATGCTTGTGTAGAAAGCAGCTATCTATTCCCTATGTACATGACGATGCTCTTGTGTGTAATTCTATTTATCGCTAATTACAACAGTAATACCTGCCTGAATATTAGGATTTCCTGTTTTAGTTGTTATAACTATATACTTCGTTTCAATTTAGATGTCAACGAGAAAAATGTCGCACAATGAAAATCAGCAGAATTTCTTTCTAGGAAAGGTCAACATGTCTGTTTGAAATAAGAAACGTACAGTCATTTACCGTTAAGCCCTGGATAGGTTAGAGAATTGATTCGATTAGGAATCTTTGTATAAATAATATTTAAAATTTAAAAATATATTGCCATTGGAAACATTTAACAATTCGTTAAATATCCTCCAAACTTAGACAGAGTAAATCAAAGTGTTTGATTTTCAGGTCTCAAGCACAAACCATATGACATCCGATGTTAGAATGTCACTATCCCCGTAACGACACATTCTATAGGATTATTTTTCTCTTATTATTTAGAAGGGTGCTATGAACGAATTCGGAACGAATGCAAGCTATCGTCCGGTCTCATGTTAATCTGCACACGAGTTGCTGACGCCACGTCACTGGAGTAGTAAGCACATGATGCAATGATGAAACATTACGTGTTAGTATATATTTACGCTCTACCCATACCGTCAATGATATATCAATATCCTACCATGCAAGCATTTACCCATTATAACCGGTATGTAACATGTGTAATCCACCAATGGAAAACAACAGTATAGTTTCGTACCTTTGTTGTAATCATTTAAAAAATATGGGGTTAAATCAATCTTAAAAAAATGCATGATAAGGTATTCTGAATTTCAAATATACAAAAAATCTAATAACGTGTTTTTACATTTCAGAATATTTAATTGTATAGGTCTTACATACGAAAGAAGCTTATACATGCTCTTTCCTTAAAATATAAACAGTGCATACATATAATGAAGTAGAAATATACAGCCTTAAATAAAACTATAGAAGTATTGATATGAAATTATATTAGGTATTATTGAATCGCCAATTGTTATAATTAATATGAAACAGTATTCTAGTGGTAGGACGCCGGGCTTGTGACCGAAGGGTTGCGGGTTCGAGTCACGGCACGGCACTGTGTTGTATCTGTGAGCAAGATACTTTACTCCGCTTGTTCCAGTCCACTCAGCTGTAAATGAGTACGTGGTTGGGCAGTACTAGAATTGTAGAATGCTAGCTGTGAGCGCAAAAATGGCAGCACCGGCTGTATGCTCCCAAGGGAGTTGAGAAAGATTTTGGCTGGTTGAAAAGGTCCTATAACCAGGGATAATAATTTGTGAACCGCTCTGAGACGACCTACGAATTAGGCTGTGATAAAGCAGTATATAAGAACCTCGAAGTATTATTATTATTATTGCAAATAACGGCCAGTCGGTCAAACATGAAATGGGGATCAGCGCAGAAAAAATGTCTTTTAACTTTAACCATTTTGAGCTAGAACCCCAGAACAAACAGACCAACACCCGCAACAACAAATACACGTATTGGAAAAATATGGAAAATCTAATACAAACTTTTAGTATCCAAAATATGTCTCTAAATCGTCTCCAAAAGAGATATAGTTGAATAACTATCGAGTCTTTGACAACCATACAGAACATTTTGAACATTCAATGTAATATCATCACTCAGAACAGATATGGAGTTAATGAGGGGTACTCTTTGGTTCATATCTTCGGAACCATTCATTATTTTTTGGGATTCCTAATATTTTTGTCATATGATCATATGATGGTATAATTTGTTTCTGTCATGAAGATAATGATGTGCCTTAAAACGTGCATGGTTCTATGCAAATTTGTATATACGTGCTGTGGCGTGCCTTCCTCAAAGGTATAACGTTCATGTATGTGTGAACTCAATGTAAGCTGTAATAAACTGCAGTTATCTGTTGACATTATGTTACCTGTAACTGAATGTCATATATGTGTATATGTATCATCTGTTGATAAATCATACGTTTGTGAACGTTCTGAAACATGTAAATATTTGTACAGTTATATGGAATATATAAGTAGGTTTATGTCAACATTTATGTACAGAATACAGTATGCACGTGTAAGCATTATCCTGTTAGAGCATTAATGGTAAGAATATGAGATAAGTAAACATGTGAATATATTGTGTAGACATATGTGTATATCGTAGAAACTATATAATGATGTAAATATTTGAGTAGATATTGCACATGCGTATGTTGTGACGAAAACATGATGAACTCTTAAGGATCCCTGCCCCACTGCACACTTGTTTTTCCTATATGCAGTAAACTCCTTTTAATTTCCATTTGTATAAAACTGTGGGACAATTTGGCCAGGACACTTCCGTCAACAATTAGACAGGGTTATCACTTAGAATTGTCAGTTAAGCAGTCTGAAGTTGGAGGTTCGTATCCAGGTCAAGCCGGGCGGTATTTTGTTACATTCGGAACACTATTGAGGATTATGTTTTGTTACATTCGGAACACTATTGAGGATTATATTTTGTTACATTCGGAACACTATTGACGATTATATTTCGTTAATCCATTTCAATTATTTCGCATTAACGCCCGCAATGTATGTTTATTTTTCAGTAATTATGTTTCAAATCTTAAGTCATGCAGAAAAAGAAGAGTTTCCAATACTTCGTTACGGTTTTTGGTAGTGGAACAGGGAACCTTTAATGTCTCACCTTCATTGGTGGTATTGTATACCATCATAATTTTAACACAATCTAATAGTCCTGCCTACAAAGGCTTTATGATGCACACGCGCAATTCAATATATTCAAAATCGACTAAACATCACCACTTGTGTTAAAATTGTACTAAGGTTCATTTAATGTTGCTCTGTTCTTCAACATTTTCACTGGATTTTACCTTTAAGGGGGAATAACCGAAATGTGTTTCGTGTTAAATATCAATAGTGTGTCCCTTTATACATGTTATAACTTGATCCATATTCAAGACTGTAAATTTCTGTAAATTATCAGAAAATAGACTGTTGCAATTATTCCCATTTTTTTTGTAAATTGGGGATCCTTATGGCGTAAACAATACATGTTTTATTATGAATTGAATTGAATTTCTTATATGGTTGAGCTATACTTAATGAATGAGGTTAAATGTCACATTAATTGTATTATTATAACGTATACAAAAATGTTAAAGCACACTGTGTTGTAGATTACTTTACACATTATGCTGTGTAAGTGTTAGTTGAATCAGATCAATGTTGATTTTATCATATATATTATGTTGATAAATTGTTAATATTGTATTGTATGATTATAATACATGATATCTAGAATACATCAACGAAAATGCATTCTGAATTACAAATGTCAACTTCAATGACAAATCTATTTAATCACGTGATACATATCAGTGATATTAGAATAGAAAAAATACTCCTCAAAGAGAGTGACTCCCCTTTGCCAAAGACATAATCTCGTTTGTGCGGGATGAGACTTATAACATGGCGGCGTCCATGATAACTACGCCTTCAAACTATATGTGAGATATACAGAGATTATATGTATGTGATAAGTAAAACAATAAGGTTTAAACGACGAACAAACGTTGTATTTGAACCTTATATACCTGACTTGTATAGACATACGTTTGATATATCATCATTTTACATACCTGTACAAATATTCCATTTTGATGACGTTCCTGACCAGCATTTGTAGTGTAGTAAAATGGGTATTGTGGTTAAGTATTCCTGGGGTATCTACATAATTTCCAGCTCACTAATCATATGATATTGTATCTGTTAATGTTTTGCTCCGATGCTTGAAATACCTTACAGCTGGATATTTTTTAGGGAGATACATTCTTTACTTCACACAAGAGTAAATGTGATCGGGGAAATAAAAGTTAATGGATATATTTAAGTTGTGTCTTCGCGTGAATTGATTCTAGAACTAATTTTTATGCATATAATATATGAGATTATTATTCCGAGTCTATTTACATTTGACTTGTTAACAAAATAACAAGAAAATACCGAAGTGTTAACAAAACCCTAATTCAACCTAAAAATCGATAAAACTGTGCAAAATATGAATAAGAGAAAGATTAATATGGCGATCCTTGAATATTCCGGAAGGGTAAGCGTCTTCTTCTTCATCTAAGACGCCAACCATGTACATCTTAAATGAATCTAATAAATAAAACGTCCTCACATCGAGATCTCCAGTAGTGACAACAAAACCACAAGGTACTATAATGAGCATAAACAAAAACATCGACCTTCATGTCTCACAAGCATCTAAATAACGAGAGATAGCAGAAGAAATAAGTGATGCTCGCTCTTAATACCAGCTGAGACAATCCAAATGTGAAAAAAAAAAATGATTTTCTACAAAAGCTTAAGTTTTTAAGAAGAATTTAATGTAAGACATATGTGTAGAAGTCTCAAAATGCCATGACCTAGAAAATAGCCAGCTATACGGTGGGGTGTGTATATGTGTGCGCATACTTGATTTGTGTATCTCTGTGGCCACGCATGCGCAATGAACTGTTTACCACCAACTTCTATGAAATATTGCATACCATGTCATGCAACTTCACAATGATCTACACGATTTTAACTATGAATTTGCGCTTTTCTAGTTATTTATTTCCTTTGGATTTGGAAAATGCTATATGACAAGGTTAGTTATAATTGTTAAGCTAGATGACTATTGTGTGTGCTCGGCAATTCAAAAGACTAATCTACATTTCAAAGCAGTGCTAAATACATATATGTGAGGGGGAAAATTCGAAAATATCTTTGAAAAACAAGGAAAAAATAGATATTTTAAAAAACAAGAATGACATTGTCATTTCTTTAGAAGATTTCGTATAAAAACTGAGAAAATATATAAGTTTTCGAAAAAAAAGAAGCTTTGATTTTCGATGTTTATTTCACTTTTGAGTGATACTATAAAAATCACAAATTAAAACTAATCTCAGAGGAATGCAAAGACTGATTTTGTCTTCTTTGTTAAATTTCGAACTCGATTGTTGGCTTTTTTCCTCCTCTGAAATCTGATGTATCTGTTCATTGTGTGTGTTCGCGCATGCATGAGCTGAATATATTACGTATTACAATATGGTAGAATGCTAATGGGATGATATTGACGACATTAAACTGTGTACCATCCATCCCGACATCGTTTGTTTTCTATAGTGACCTTTCAACTTCTAAAGCTACGTTTGAATGGTTCCGCGTTAACAATGTAATCCGTCCTTAAAAAGGACGATTACAATGTTAGGTATCTATAGTACATCAAACAATACATATAACAACAAAACAGAAATATAAATGTTCGAATGTATCACATCGCCGTTAAAAATTTCCGCGAAATGTCGCGTAAAGATGCCAGACAGATCGGACGAGATCTAGAACCGGGTATCATGTGGTATATCCCTGTCGGGGGCGCAAGAACTCAATATCAATGGCCCATTATTGGCCCCAGTATCCTCGGACACAGTCTTCATGTGTCCTTAGCTGTTACGGGGAGGTACCATCCGAACAACCAAAACTAAGTGGAATCAGCTGAAACAAATTTGGAGACTATGTAGAAGTACCCATTATTCTGAAAACCTTATAAAGAATATAGAGGACATCCAACGAGCGATTATAGATTATGACTGTTATTCATTTCAGCATTTGAGTTAGAATACTCACAAGTGTGAGTAACGACGTTTGAGGAAGAGATCCTGTCAGAGTATTGAACTGGTTTTTTTTTGTTCAAAGTTATTGTCCTTTGATACCGAACAGACAATTGCGGACGAATCTAATACCGGTAATGCATGTAAGCGCTATACAACAATCTGTGTGCATTCCAATTTAGATATTATACAATTAAAACTCTCAAGAGAATGCAGTTCAAGGATATACACCTCTGAGAAGTCAAAAAATTCCTGTATTAAACTTTTTTTCTTATATGGATTTTTGGAAAAAAGAGTAAGTGGTAAAGTAGATAATGCAAAAAAAAAATTAGGTCCGTGTTTTCGATTTTGTGCTATGGTCGGTCAAAGATACCAATTTAACACAATATGTGATTTTATTTGATATGTAAAAGTTTCATTGATTATTTTCGACAATGAGGCAT